GCTGCTGCTGAAATTAAAAATATACCTCTGTCTGACAACACAATAGGCAGGCGGATTACAGACATGTCACTTGATATCGAAAAAAGTGTTATGTTAAAATTGAAAGCTGTCGAATTTTTTGCTATTCAAGTGGATGAAAGCACTGATTCAAGTGGAAAATCACAGCTACTTGCTTTTATTCGGTTTATTGAAAATGATGCCATAGTCGAAGAATTTTTATGTTGCAGGGAATTGCCAGAAACAACAAAAGGACAAGATATATATGATGCACTTACCTCATACTTGAATCGCTGGGACATGACATGGGAAAAGTGTGTTGGAATATGCACAGATGGCTTTCCCTCAATGACTGCAAGTGTAAAAGGTTTTGTTACACTGGTAAAGCGATCTCAGCCAAATATTTCAACAACTCACTGCTTTCTTCATTGTGAAGACCTTGTTGCCAAAGCCATTGGCCCAGAGCTAAAAGATGTACTTGACATGGTGGTCAACATAGTCAATTACTTAAAATCAAGGCCAGTGAAATGTCGGCAGTTCACCAAACTTTGTGAAAGCATGGATGCTGAACATGTCACTCTTCTACTTCATACTGAAGTCCGATGGCTCTCTCGAGGACGAGTGTTGTCTCGGTTTTATGAACTCAGAGAAGAACTGCTGAATTTCTTTACAAACAACAAGTTTGAATTTGTCGAATTTCTGAACGACGAAAGTTAGTGTTCAAAGTTGGCCTACCTATCTGACATTTTTCAGCACCTGAATAATTTGAATACGAGTATGCAAGGAGTAAAAGAGAATATTCTGACTTCAGTGGATAAAATTAATGCGTTCAAACGGAAACTGATTATTTGGAAGAAGCATGCTTCGCGAGGCAACTGTGAAATGTTTTCCACTTTAGTTCAAAGAAGAAATTTAGTTAGCATTTTGCCACTGATAACCAACCATTTGGAATCTTTAACTAAAGGATTAGATAAATATTTTCCATATATATCCCTTGAAGAATATTATTCAGAGATTCAACAAATGGATTTCTAATCCAATCGTCAAACTGAAATCCACGCTTCATTCTAAGTGTCCGGTCATTTGAAATTCCTGCCAACTCTTCTTCATCCACAATGAACTTAATCTGGACTCATTTTGCAAAAGAATACCCATCGATCTCAAATAAGGCTCTGCGTGTTCTTCTGCAGTTTTCAACATCATACTTGTGCGAATTAGGATTCTCAACCATGACGACTATCAAAAGTAAGAAAAGAGAAGAACTGCGTGTATGTCTCTCCAAAACTAGGCCAAACTTTCCAGTTCTGCTCAGAAATCATCAAGCACAAATATCACATTAATTTGTATACTTTTTACATAAACAATAAATTTTGAAAATATTGCGGCTTTTTTGTAAATAAATGCATGTAAATTCTTTGTAAACCTTGTAATTTATTTATTAAAACTTTCCTTATATACATAGGGATCCGCAAGAAAATCTGAGCCTCTCAGGGGATCCGCGCTTCCAAAAAGGTTGAAAACCACTGTACTAGACTCTCAGGTAGCACGGTTAAGAACGAGAACGGTCTTTTACTACCCAGTATGTGATATAAGAACGAGGCTAATAAGGTTAATCCAGGATAGAACGTGGGTTATAAGGGCAAGCTTCAATCCATGACTTAACGTATAACACACAAGTAAAAACATTGTCCACCATGTCATTTTATAATCTATTTAAATAAAACAATTACAAAAATATTAATCTGTTGAAATCAGCTTAAAACTAAATATTTGGCTCATGATCCAAAATATACTTTGCAAGAAGAACTATTGTATTATTTCTTTAAAAAATATGATTTAAACAAAATAATTAATGAAAACTATTATGTTGGATGAATGCTAAACATAACATTAATACTCAAAACAATTTATTCAAAATGTGATGTATGGTAAAGATTACGACATGGTAGAGCTAATACGAGATTTTCGGTATTATAATTGTCTGTGTGTGGCTGTCAAAGCCTGCAACCTACCATGGGTTCACCATCATGCAAGAACGTAGAAAATAAAGAAGACAACAGGTCGAAAATTACAAAACCTTCATGCTTTTTTATGGATTCTATTCCAGTTATGTAGTCGCATGACAACATGATTCTACAAAGGCTTAGTCCAGTATGTGATGTATAGATTATCGTATAATACATTGGTTTTCAACCAGTGGGGCGCGTCCTCTGGAGGAGGGGGTCGAACTATTCAATAATACTCTAATAAATTACAAAAATATTAATCTAGAAAAGTATATTACAAATTCGTATACTACTATTATTATGTTTTATTTTTTAACCGCGCTTTTAAACAGAGAACCAATCAGGGGCAAAATTTTAAAACTGTTTCATGTTGGGCGTGAGTAAAAAATGATCGAGAACCCACGGTATAATGCAACATGATGGTACAAAAAATTATGATACAATATGCAGTGTTTACTTAAGTTCAGGGCGGGATACTATAAACATGTATAGTCCAGGATGTGGTGTAGGATAACATAAAGCTGTAATTCTATATTAAACAGAGTGGTGTACGACAACATAAAGTTGTAATTCTATATTAAACAGAG